GTAGTGGATATCCTAAATTCCAAGTAACCATAAAGTGTTCAACTAAACCCTCACAAACTTGAATTCTGGAATCTCTTGATAACCTATCTTCTGTGAATCCACACCGACTTGAAGGCTAACGATTGCAACACAAGAACAACCCCCTAAAGGAACCTTGAAGATGAAGATAAGATGTGCAATTCAGAAAGAAACATGACCAACCAAAGGTCCTTGACATGAAAACCCTAATCCAATGCACCTCAACTGATAAAAAAAATATTAAAAAAAAAATAGCTTTACCACGAATCAGAAACCTCAAATCTCCCTTTGAGAAATCTTTTGAATGGGGAAAACACCAATAACAAGAAAATATTTTGATCCCATGTCTTAGAAGACCAATGCGCTATATGGTTATGAGGTATGATCTAAATAAGATGCAGATGAATGCGAAACAAAAGCTAGAAAAGTGAGGGCAGCGGTAAATGTAATCTCCAAAATATGTTTTCTTTCTCTTCATCAATAAATGTTTTAAGGCACATTTACAACAATCTCCACCTTGAATTTAAACCATGTTGATACCAATTTAACAATCAACAACATTGTTGATATCTACCATGTTAAAACTTTAATCAATAACTTTGATCAAATTCAAGCAACCCTTGAATCTTAATCTGGCAACTTGCATCCATTTGTTCCTAATTACCCTTTTCTGCCTAGGTAATTTAACAAGTCTACATGTATGATTTTTCAACCACTCTTGACTCCACCTGTTTTCAAATGCCTCCTTGAAGGTTTTTATTTTTTTATTTTGCAGTCATTCAGCCACATTAAAAACATAATATCAAAGGCTAGCATAATCGTCCCTTTGAGATGCTACAATAACCCTCCTTACCTTATCATGAGTCAAATGATAATTAGAGATCTCGATAATCGTTCCTTCACTACTGCTAGCATCCATAGTAGAAAACTCCACCTCAAACTGAGTTTTTTCCATTATAGTTTCTCCCCTGGTTTTCATTATTCTTCTTATGAAGGAATTCTCTACCAACCAAGTAAGTTGTTTTAACCTCAGCTTTTCCCCAAAAACTCAATAACAAATCAGCGGTAACATACATTTTTATCCCTTGATTTCTGCAAAATTCATTGTACTCCTCTGAAATTTTCTCAAGGCATTCATAACGCCTTAAACTCAAATCCCATAGCTCTTCCTTATCATGAAAGCCTCCACTGTTAACGATGAATGAACAATAACATTTGAACCTTCTAAAATATATAGACCACATATTTTAGATCCTTTAGCAATAACCAATTCATCTCGCGAAATCTTCAACACTCCACGTTCAACTCTAGTACAATAGCCTAGATCATCAAACATACTTATAGATAACAAATTTTGCTTGAGTTCTGAAACATACCTCACATTGTGAATAAGAAGTTCACGGTCATTAAACATTTTAAATCTGACCGTACCAATATCATGAACCTCTCATGCGTTATTATTACCAAGGCGAACTACTCCACCTTACATCATCTACAAAGTTTCAAAGTATTTTATTCTTGGAGACATGTGATAAGAGCAACCTGAGTCAATGACCCAACTATCTTCAGTTTCCAAACTCGATACTACTAGTGCTTCGGCATCCTCATAACTTTCCTCACCCAATGTAACCACAGCGTGAACAGAATCTTCATTGACCTTTCTTTCAGGACAATCCATTTTAAAGGAACCAATTTTCTAACAATTAAAATATTTTACCTTTGACTTGTCAGACCTCTTTGATTTGTACATCCCTTTACGCTCACCTCCTTCTCTTGACACATTTAAGCCTTCACCACTATCTTCAATCTTCAAATCTTTTGACTTTGAAAATTATTTGGATTCCACCGTCGTCTGAACTTCATCCAAAGTAATAGTACCTTGCTTACCATAAAGAAGGGCATCCTTAAAGTGCTCAAAGAATCTGGGTAATGAACTTAATAAGAGCAAAACCTTGTCCTCAACATCAATCTTCACTTCAATATTCCCAAGATCATCGATAATCTTGTGAAATTCTATGTCCTACTCAACTATGGATTTGTTCTCCACCATTCAGAATGAATAGAGATGTTATTTCAGATACAACCTGTGAGCCAAAGAATTTGTCATATACAATTGATTCAAGTTTTGCCCACATAGCAACCGCAGTTTTCTCCTTGACGACTTCTCTTAGAACTTTATCCCCGAGGCACAAGATAATGACACTTCTGCCCTTATCCACCATCTCGATCTTCTATACCTATGTAAGCCCTACAGGCATCAATGCCTCACTCTTCAAAGCATCGATACACTTCTATTGAATTAAAATTGCTTGCATCTTAATTTTCCACAACCTGAAGACATTGTTACCGAAAAATTTCACAATCTTCCATCTACTAACCATGGTCCTCACTTGTCTTTCGACCATAGATTTAAATATGACAAATACCTTGATTGCATCACTTTTCTTCTTAATGAGGTAAGTTCATAGCTTTCGACTGTTATCATCTATGAACCTGACAAAGTATTTGTTGCCTGCAATAGAATCCATATGGATTGGACTACATACATCAGAGTATATGACTTCCAGAATTTCCTTCGACTTCCTTCCTGCATCCTTGCTAAAGTTATTCTCGTGTTGTTTCGATAAACAAACTTTTCATAAACTTCACTTAGAATGTCGATTTTAGGTAATCCTGAAGCCATATTTCTTCTCTTTAGCTCTTTGATGTCATTGAAGTTGAGATGACCTAGTCAAAAATGCCATAACCATTCATCTCTGTTGGCTGCAGTTGCTAGGCACTTGCGCTCCATCACATTGAGTTCAATCTTGAAGGTCCTATTCTGAGACATTAGAGCCTTCAAGATCAACCTACCACCTTTTTCGAGAACTCTCATCATCTTGTCTTTGATTGACACCTTGCAGTTCTTTTCGACTAGCTGTCATATACTGCGTAAACTACTCTTCATGCCTGGTATGTACAACACATTAGAAATTATTAACCTCTTGCCATTTTTCCTCATAATCAAAATATCGCCAATACCTTCAGCTGTTAGAGTATTGTCATTTGCAAATTTCACCATGTTCTTCGATGAGGGCTTCATGTTGATAAACCAATCTTTCCTTCTAGTCATGTGTGATGAGCATCCTGAGTCCAAGTACCACTGGTCCTGGAATCTCTCTTCGTCTCTTGTTGTGACCATTAACAACATCTCTTCTTTTTCATGCTTCGCCATCTTTGCATCAGTTTCTTGATTCTTCTTCTTTTCACACTTTTGACAATTGAAACACTGAATGTGACTTTTGTCAGGCTTTCGTCCACCACCTCTTCCTCTACCTGCAACACCACCTCTTTGGTTGCCTTAGTTCAAGGGTTTTCTTTGATTCGACCAATTTCCTTCTTGCTGATTTCGACTAGTCGAATTGTTGTAGCCTCTTCTACCTTTGTTGCCATTACAACTTCCTTTGCCTTTCCTTTCCTTTTATGATTGCGCTTGTAAAGCCATATCATTCTTCGACTTTCCTGCAGCTTTCTCAACCATCCTTTGTTCATGAGACTCAAGCGTTCCTTGAAGCTCTTCCTTTGTCGATGTTGACAAGTCTTTCGATTCTTCTATGCCTACTACCACGTGGTCGAACTTTGGAGCCAACGACCTCAAGATCTTTGCAACAACTGATCTTGATGTCAACACTTTTCCACATACCTTGATTTGACTCACCAGCTTTGTAACTCTAGTGAAGAAATATGATATACTTTCACTTTCTTCCATCTGAAGCAATTCATAGGTTCTCTTGTGAATTTGTAATCTCACCTCTTTCACCTTTTCTGCACCTCTAAACGACTTCTCAAGAATCTTCCACGCCTCCTTCTCTGATTCTACATCACTAACCTTTTCAAACTTATCTGGATCTACACATTGATGGGTTATAAAGAGAACTTCATAATCTTTCTTCTTCAATTTTTTGAATGCAGCCTTTTCTTGATCCGTCGCGTTTTCTGCAAGCGATACTACTCTTTCCTTCACAAAATCCCAAGGATCTTGATAATAGAAAACCACTTTAATCTGCTTACAACAATTCTCATAATTATCTTTCTTGAGAATTGTAAGGTTTGTCGGAAAGTGACCGCTTGGATGATTCATCGCCATCACAATTTTCCTTCCTTGAATCGTACTCGAAGCTCTAGATACCAGATGTTGGAAATTCAACCACATCCTATGGAGAATTTCACTCAATCAATCTTGATCTCAAGATTGTTTCAACTCATGTAATGACAATGAAAGAAAAATTTAAAAAGAAAGAAAATAAGCTTTGGAGAAGAAGATGATGAACAATTTTCTGGAGAGAACTCTCTACTCACAAACTGTGGAAATTCTGTTATTTCACTTGCAACTGAAAATTGTGAATTACAAAATATGATGAGATGTTTACAAAATAAGGGTTTCTCCCTATTTATAGATTTAGGTTAGCTTGCTCCCCAAGAAAAAGCCCAAACTACAAAAGTCCAAAAATATGTAATCTAATCTTTCTAAATCAAATCTAATCTTTTTAAACAAATCAAATCTTTCTAAAACAATAAATTACATATTTAACAGTTCCAAGTGTAAGTTTAAATTTCTAATGCTTCCTCTATAGATTTTATGTAGGGTTGGTTCTCATCAAGTAGGCTATAGAATAATCATACAAAGATTCTCAATATTATTTCAAATGCCCAACAAAATTGAATATAGACTATAGAATAATCATATCAAGACCTCTCAAAATTATTTCAAATGCTCAACAAAATTGAATAGGCGTTGCTCTTCTCTTTAGTTAATGTATGCTTAAACAACTTGAAATTCAGCCGATTTTATAAAAATGAATTGATTCCATAAATTAGTCATGGCTAAATACAATTTTAGGATGGTCTTTAAAGAACACTAATGTCACTCCAATAAGAACACTAATGTCACTCCAATTGACATTGCTTTACAAAATTAGACTGATTATAGAAAAGTTGCCGCAATGAACACCTTTGTTGTACAAAATGTTCACTCACTCTCACTATTATCAAATTCACCACTTTCTCTAACTCCTTCCTTGTTTCATCACCAGGTTCGTTTTTCCATTCTTCCCAATCGCAGACCAATAACCAGAAGTTTCCCCAACTTCAACATGGCTCTATCTGCAGAAACCCTAGGTGATTATTCTATTCAACTTATCTGCAAATAAAATTCGATAAACTCAAGAAATTTAACCTATACCTTCTTCAGGTTTTGAGCAAAAGAGAGTCGTAATACCCAATAAACACGGTGAAAAACTAGCTGGCATATTGCATGATTCTGGAACTAAACAGATTGTTATCTTATGTCACGGTTTTCGATCCTCTAAAGTTTGTTTTTTTTCCCTTCAATTTGTTCAGCTATAATCCCTTTGCATTTGTACCCAATTGTTTTCAATTTCATAGCTTAGGTTTTTTTTTTTAATTTTATTTTATTTTTTTTTATATTCAGGAATCCAATACCATAGTGAACCTTGCTGCTGCATTGGAAAAAGCTGGAATCAGTTCTTTCCGCTTTGACTTTTCTGGAAATGGGTAAGCGAATACGATTCCGACACTGACTCGGCGACACCAGTAATAATAAGGGTTGGTGCAGGTGTCCGATATTGACACTGACACAGACTTGTCTTTATTGGATTAGTGTTGTGTTTCTAGTGTCTGAGTGACCATGCCATTTTCAGACACAATTATAATTTTACAGTGTTATTTATTTGTAGTTATACTAAAATTTCTGTTATCTTTTATTGATCATTTGTCTTGCGTCAGGCTATTGTGCCTTAATTAAGTTCTTGGTGTTTTTTTTTATTCATAGGGAAAGTGATGGTTCGTTTCAGTATGGTTACTACTGGAGAGAGGCTGATGATTTACATGCTGTGACTCAACATTTCCATGGATTAAACCGTCTGGTGACTGCAATTGTTGGGCATAGTAAAGGTATATCAGCTTGGTATCCTTGTCCAAGTATTCCTGCCAACAAGAGAAGTTTAAGACAAATATTTAAAGTCGGTATTGGTGCGGATATTTAATCATTTATGAATTATGCTCTATTATATCAAATTATAAAAGTTGTCCTTGTCAAAGTAATTTCAGGTTTGTTGGCTAGTAAAGATGAGAAACATTGAATGATGATGCAATAGTGTTGCTAAATAGCATCTGTAGCGCTATTGCATAGTGGAATTTGAACAAATCGGTATTGTAATTTGTAATGCAATATGCTATTTAGTACAAAATATTGTGAAATAAATAACGGCTACAGCAGCACTATGGCACTGATGCCTAACAAAATATGAACATAACTGCTATTTTCAGTGATCTGCAATTGACATCACTGTTCAGCTTATGTTTTTGAGCTACTTAGCAAAAACCTGCTACAAAGGAACTTAGTGAGTATTTTCATTTTAGTAGTGTCAAGAGCTAGTTTACACAACCATATTGGCATTTTAGAATTGTCTGTTATATTTATTAACTAGGTATGTTATGTTGGAATATGGAAGATTGATTAAATCCCTATGCTCCTACTCTTTGCGGGTGACTCGGTGAAACATGACTTATTCACAGCTTTTGCCTCTTGCGTTATGTTTTTCAAGCCCAAATGTATAATAGTTGAACTATTATAAAGTGTATCGATATCATGATACAGGTGCTGGAGTGGTGCTTCTCTATGCTTCAAAATATAATGACGTCAAAACAGTCGTCAATATCTCTGGACGCTATGATCTGAAGGCAGGAATTGAAGAACGCCTTGGAAAAAATTATATGGAGAGAATTAAGGAGGATGGTTTCATTGACGTGAAGAGGCCAGGTAACCTATCTTTTAATCGGACATAAGTTTCAGTTCATCTTAGCGAGGGAGCATGATGTAGTAAGTAGTTAACAAATTCAGTCTCTCTTGATCACTTGTTTCCATACTTTGAACTTATTGTTGAATTGTAATTGCTCCATGACCATCATGGTGTGATGCTCTAAAATATGAGACTGGGGATTATTCTATCCTATAACCAAAAGTCCGTGCTGCAATCTCTAATTTTGTCAAATTTCATTCTCTTAAATGTCCGAGAACAAAAAGAACATAAAAAGAAGGGGACAAATTGTACCATGAACCTAGGGACAATTTGTCCCCTTCTTTTTATGTTTTTTTTTTTGTTCTCGGACATTTATGAGAATGTAGCATGAAGAATTCGGGACAATGGAAAGACAAAAGATGGGGAAATGAAAAATATAGGCAGTAGTTAACAACAATTGGGTTCGAAACTTGAAACTAGAGGAAGCCACCATAGACGATCGGGTTCATAAGTCATGACATGGCATTCTCCACTTATGTAAGCACACTTATTTTATTATTATACAATCATTACTGTTGCAGGAAGTTCCGACTACCGCGTGACTCTGGAAAGTTTGCTAGATCGCTTAAATACAAATATGCATGAAGCATGCCTTCAGATTGATACAGAATGCAGGTGAGAGAAAAATATTTTCTAGTCTCTATTGCCTCTTTTCACAACTTTTTTTTCTGAGAAAGTTAATATGCAGAATTTGTGGAGGTGTTGTAAAGAACTTTATATGATAATTTTAGGGTCCTTACGGTTCATGGTTCTTCAGACACAGTTATATCTGTTGAAGATGCATTTCAGTTTGCTCAGATTCTACCAAAGCATACATTACATATCATAGAAGGAGCTGATCATTCCTACACTAGTCACCAAACCGAGCTAGCTTCGTTAGTTGTCAACTTCATAAAATAAAAGAAACCTTGCACTGGGATGGACAGGAATACTTAGGTAAGTGTCCCTGCTAGCAGCAGTTTATAGACTTATTTTTGTTTGACATCGGTTTTCAGAATGATATCGTTGCGACAGGTCTTGCAGTTCCGAATCATTTGAAGTTGCTACCGGCGACAAATTCTCACGGATACGGCGTTGTTCTGCAACATTTTTGAACTCCGCTATTTTTTACTCATAAAATTAGTGAATTTTGCTTTGTACGAACTTGCTGTGATAATCTATTGCTAAACAAAGCATGTACTCCTATTTTACACTTGTTTCTAATACAGTGGCTAGTTTACAAAATAGTTACAATAAACACACATCCTAGTTTTCTTAATATTTATGAAAACAACTATAGTGCAAGTGTTTATAACAAAAAGGATAAAGAGAGCATCCTGTCTCTAATATAAATAAAATTTAGTTTTAAAAATTGATATATTTGATTTAAGTTTTAAGTCAAATAGATACGCTTTCTTAAACCATTGTTTATTTATATTTGAGACCAAATGAGATCATTTTTCCATTTAACTTTTACCTAACAAAGGGACAATGTCAAGCTTAATGAAGGTAGGGGTAGATCCGTGAATTCATTCATCTAAACCGAATCAATTTATAAATTATTCGAACACATTCATTTATGCATATATTCAACCCAACCCGCAATATCTTGTACAATTTTGATTCCGCATATTTATTGACCCAGGTCAATTCATTGATTCATTGATGTGATATTAGTAAATTTTTTATTATTTTAAATAAAAATATAAAATTAATATCTTATTACTAACTATAATTTTGTAAAAAAAATATTATTTTTCATCAAATACTATTTGATCAATTAATTTACGTAATTCTAAGACTAAGTGTTTTTTATTTTCTTTTGTTTCATTTTCGAGTTGCATGATTTATAGAAATAACATGTCTAGTAAAATTTTATTCTATTATGAAGTGTTATATCATGTTGATGAATTTTATTAGATATTACATGATGTGTTCCATCCAATTTAAGTGTTAGAAATTAGTGTAATTGTATTGAATTGTGTTAAAATCTAATTAAAAAAACATTAAAAAAAATATTTTTTATTTAAAACACAACTCGCGAACCTAACTCAATCAACAAATAAACTGGTCGATTCGGGTTGATGTTGACGAGGAAATTGTGAGTTGGACGATGAACTCAACCCATTAAAATTTAAATGGGTTGGATAACAAATTATGTCGAATCCGATCCAACCTAACTCGTGTACATCCTTAAGTTGAAAGCATGCCCAATGAATAGGGAATCACATCCAAGCCATAAGTGGGTTCACTCTCACATAAATTCAATATGTTTGTAATTGTTTCGATTATTAAAAAATTTGGAAGTATATATCCAATTGATCAATAAAAAACCGAAGTTAGCACTATCGAATTTAATCGTATTCAATAAATTCTCTTAATATAATTTTATTTAATCATATTAAAAAAAATCAAAAACAAAATATACTTTTTTTTTCAAATTTGAATTAAATCACTAAGTGTACTTATATTTTAATTTTAAACAACATAATATTCATTCAAATAAAAAAGGTTTATTTAGTGCACTTAATTTTAAATATCGATTTAGTCCCTTATTTAATAAATGTTACAATTTAGTCCCTTAATAATGATTATGTTAGCCAACTTAATCTCTTCAGTTAAATTTGTAAAAAAAACGTTAACTGGGTTGATGTGGCAGGACAACAAGGATGCACTTTTGTTAGTGACTCAGCAAGGGATTATATTAAAGTTGTAAGGTCCATGTTTCTTCATTGTAACGTTGTCACGCGTTTTACATCTATGACTACTATTCATCTTCTTCCTTCAACCTTCTTCCAAATTTCTTCAAGAATCCTCTTCTTCCAAACCATCATTTTCATAATTTCTGCTAAGATGTCAATGAACTCCAGCAACTATCCAAAATCAAACAACCAAAATTGTGGGTCATTTAAATCTGTGGTCATAAGAAACAAGAGGAGGAATTGTTGATGCCAAGAAGTGTGTATTATTCGTACTCTTACAGATTTGAACAATGTTAATATTGGAAAAAGTTTTGGGGTTGTAAGAATTACAAAAATCAAATGGAGAAGGGATGCAATTTTTTCACGTGGGTAGGATATGAAGTTGTTGATGAAAGAAATTTGAAGATTGAAAGGCAAAGGAAGAGAATATTCAAGTTGAATAATGAAGATTTAAGCACATGAGGAATGTTAAAAATTGCAATAGTGTTTGACATTATTAGTTTAGGCTTTAATTTAATGTTATTAACCATGTATTTCAAAAAGGGTTATGTTCAAAACAATACTTATTTGATGTTACGATGTTAGTTTTGATGTTATGAAATTATATAATCTCAATGTTGGTTAAATGAAATGTGGTCTGTAATATTGTAGTAATTCTGTTTTATCATTTATGATATAACAAAGGTGTTATGTATTATATAATGTGGTATGTAATATTGCAGAAGAAGGACTAAAATGTGGCATGTAATATTAAATAAGGAACTTAACTGAAACAATGTAATACATAAGGGACTATGTTGAAATCTATATGATTAGCTTTGATGCTCTAACCAAACTGCAAATACATTATCCATGTTGCATGTTACTTATCATAACCATTGTGGTGTTCATCTTAAGGAAAACACAATGAAAAGACAATTTAAGGAAAGAACAAAATGTTGTTTGCATCATGATAATCATTGTTACATATGTGTTCATTGACACTAACACAAAAGACCAAATTTAGTGTTCATTAACACTAATACAAAAGACCAAATTTAGTGTTCCTTAACACTAATACAAAAAGGCTAAGTTACACAAACAGTTTGTGTTAAATGACACTAATACAAAAAGCCTAAGTAAATCACAATACAGTTGCTTTAGGAAGGGTGGTCTGAATTGGTGCATACTGGTTTGCTTCATGTTGGGTGATCTAAGTTGGTGCAGACTGGCTTGCTCCAGGCTGAGTTGTCTGAGTTGGTGCAGACAACTTGCGAGTAGCTTTGTTGTGCCTCATCATGTGGCATCTGCTGCATTTAATTCTAAAGTTGGCTCGCTTTAGTTGTATTTCATCCCCTATATTCTCTGATCCATCCATAGTCCTCTTCTTCTTTGGCCTTCCTGGTTGTCTTTTGATTGGTGGTGGTTGTAAATCAACATGCTATGTTTTCTCCCACAATGCCTCCCCATTCACTGTGTAAAACACAACAACAATTCAACAAATGTAAAACACCTTCTAAATGAGGAAGCAAGTCAACATTCAATACCTCACAACCCAATTGATTGCTTTTTTATTCCTTTGTTATCCTTTTATTGATATTTTGTTGAATATCACCTTCATAATTGGCAATCTTCTTCCTGTTTGACTCCCACCTCATCATGAGATACACTCTGATTTTTTCAATCATTGTTACAATTGGTTTGACCCTAGTTATGACAAAAATAGACTTGGTTTCCTAGGTGGTCTTCCCACTTTACCTTTTCCCTTTCCCTTTACCATTACACTTCCCCTTACCTTTATCCTTCCCCTTACCTTTGTAAGTTCAGAGTATGCCTAAGAGGGGGGTGAATTAGGCTTTAGAAACTTTTTCCGGTTTTTCGATATTCTTGAAATTTACTTGGTAATGATCTTGATGATGAAAGCAGTAAAGGCAGAATGAAAATGGACACAGAGATTTATAGTGGTTCCCTTCACAATCCGAAGGTACTCCACTCCCCTTTCCACATGAAAGAGAGTTTTCACTATAGTTTTAGAATGTACAACCTATCACACCATCAACCGGTGAGACCTACTATCTAACAACTATTTCAACAACTTAGTGTGCAAGAACAATCCTCTTGCAAGCACTAACCCTTGTGTTCAACAATCCTGAATCACAAGTCACAAAGAAATAATTCTTGTAATTTTGTAATTGAGAGTGAGACAATAGTAATATCAATACAAAGATTGATCTTCTCCTTTTGATCAAAATTCACTTTTCAATATCAATACAAGTGTTCAAAAATTTTGGATATGAAATGTATGAACAATATGAACACTTTTTGAAAATATTTGAAAAGTAGTGAATTTGATTTAATGATTATTTTGAAAATTATTGGAGGTGTTTTTCAATTTAAAATTTCCAGAATTTATATGAGCAAAACACCATTTCAAAAAGGTATAATTGAGTATGAATCAAATAATGAAAAGGTATAACATTCAAACAAAATTTGAATTAAAAAAGAAACAATTTTTCAAAATTCGTTCAGTGTTAATCGGTTAACCATATAGATTAATTGGTTAACACTTGAACGTTAGCCCTGAGAATTCAAAATTTAAGGTCGTTAACCGATTAACCCATATGGTTAATCGGTTAACACTGTTAAAACTCCGAAAAATACTAAGTTAAAAAGTGTTATACCAATCCAAATGATTTTTTTTAAACATGCAGATGCAAAATGTAAATATGATAAGTATTTGAACACTTGTATATCAATTAAAGGGGTGAATATTGATATACTGAAGCTTGAGTCAAAATCTTGAAAGTTGTAGGATCATTTGCGCATGATGCTTGCTTTGTTAGACAACATTCCATAGTCTTGATCTTGATCAGTTTTGAAAGCTTTGACTTTTTGCAATCATGGAATGAGCTTAGGTCTTTGTTGACATCATCAAAACCTTGAGACTGAAGTGCTTCTACATTCTCCCCCTTTTTGATGATGACAAACAACTGTGACTGTGCAATATCCTTGACGATGTTTGGTTCTGATCTTGGCTTGCTTCTCCCCCTATGTTCAGCAACTTCCCCTATCTAAACAGAGGCAAAAAAATTCTGTACAAAGAGATATTAGACAGCCAAGCTCTTCTCCCCCTTTGTCATTAGCAAAAAGGAAGGAGCTTTCAAAACCAAAAAAAAAAAGCAATATCGGCATACAAGACAGCATATAATCAATCACAACAACATAGATCGAAGTAAAAAT